CCCCCCCTCTCGACTTGTTTCAATTTGATATTTCTTCCCCCCTGTGAAGCCTGAAGTCAACTAAAGGGCTAATGGTAACCATCAAGACGCCTGCCATTTGATATAAATAAATAAATATTCGATTACGTAACCTCTGATTTTAACCATTGGGTACAACTCAGTTCATCTTAACTAGTCGACGGGCGTATACCCCCTAACTTATCGTGGTCTCGGATATTAACTAATCGCTAAAGCAAACATTATAACAGTTACGAAATAGTTTCAAATAAAGTCACGGAGATAATATTCCATTACCCAAGATAACAAAATAAGGCATGCTTTGAATATAAGTATTAATATAGGTATTTATATATAAAGCAAATTTTAAATTTTATACACGTCCACAGACTCAAGGCACATGACACAGTTGTGGAATGTAACAAAAGAAAAGGAAACGAACGATGCTAACCATCAACGGTATATTATGGAAGTCTCCACCTCTCCAACTCTTTATCTTTAGTGAAAATTAAACCACAATTTAGTGCACAGCCGAATGTGGATAGGAAGAGAGGGGTAGTTCTTGTTCGATTATAAAAAGGGAAAGAAATCTGAACACAGTAATATGTACACACAAGCTTGTTCATCTTCAATAAAGAGCTTGATTTGGAAGGGTTTGGCCATTCTCTGAGCTAGAACTGGAATTTAGGGGAGTATGATCAATAATTAGGGACCCACTTTCTTCAAACTCTGGCCTGAGCTCTTCCGGTTCAATCTCAGGAGGAAACAGGGTTTCAGAAGCATCGTCTCCATTAGTTGCTTCTTGATTGGCAATATCGGCGACTGCCGACGATTGAGTATCTTGTGGTTGAGCTAAAGTCATAGCGGCATCAATGGCCTTTTTGTAGGAATTCTGTTTCCCCTGTTTGTATTTCCGCTTGTCTAACTTCTTCTCATAATTAGCAAGGAAGGGCAAGATTTTGTCGCAGGACAATTCGTTGGTTTCGTTGGTACCAAACCAGGTAATTTGAGCAATGCAGGAGTATGGTGAGCGAAGACAAAGACGGGTAATACGAGCAGGCCACCATGGCCAACCGCTCAATTTGCCCCACACTACATCACCAATTCGGAATGTAATGGAGGAGGAGGGTAATTGGAAGGCATCAATAAGATTGGACTCGGTGACGAGTTGGGGGTCGTATACTAGAGGGGAGTGAGTGGAGCTTGCGGAATCTGCAATTGGGCAAGGAGATGCGAGTTTTTGAGGAGGAAAGGAGTCAGGCACTGTAGGTGCTGGCTCATCATGTAGAACTTCAACCTGACAAGTGATATAAAACACTAAATCAATAACGAGTAGACTAACAATCAATGCATTGTTAGTTTCGACTAAAATAAGCAATAATTACCTAGCAGCTGGGAATATAATAAGCATACAAAAAAGCAAAATTACGGAATTCGTGATTCTGAAAAACGCGTAAGACTACAAAACAAATGAGAAAAACAGGACGAGCATAAATACGCCTACTTTAGGGCTGAAATCCCCAGATATGTATATCCTTATTCATATTTAGAAACAAACAAGAAATCACCACATTTGATCAGATGGATAATACAATCATAGCGACTGAAAAGTAACTCCTACCAAAAAATTCACTAGGCTTCTAAACATTTGAGAACAAACCGAGCAATCGACTGAATGTATTGTTCAGAAAGTAACCGTCCAAATGGATAGATCGATAAGAAGGCGAAACTATGCTTTACAATGCACCGAAAGTGCAGTATCAAGTCCACGTTACAAGATTCACTTTCATGCCACAACTAGGGCGAGCAATAGCATGACGAGATCAATCGTCATTAATCAATTGGTCCATTGCCTGAGCAATCATATTCTACTACAATTGGATGTTGAAGTTCGATGCTTTGTGCAATTTCCTCTGGTCAAACACAATCCGATCAGGACCAATTTCTGAGTGTAAACGAACATTTATTTTGACCAAGAAAATAAATTAGTCTTGTTACGTTAAGTTTTGACTTTCTGTCTGCCCCCCCCCCGCCCCCCACCCTGGGGTCTGACCAACTGCAATGTGCATTATCACAGTGATGGGCGAAAGGTGTCCCAATAAATGCAAAAGCCATTAAGAAGTGTTATGCCATATTCAAATAGCTTCTGTATATTAGTACACAATTTTGCAGTGAATGTATACTTAGGAAATTGAAATCAAGAAGGGATAAAATATTGAATTCCCACTAAAGAGATGAAGCATCTTTCATGATTAAACTCATTGTTTATGAGATATATAACTAATGAAATACGTGGGAATCTTCAGAGTGACAAGACCAACAAGACGGCTGGGAAGCACTGGAGAGCCTAGAAAAACATTTAATGCCATCAAGGAAGCAAATTGTGAAGCTGGAACTTGGTATCGCATAACCCAAAAAAGGAGTAAAATGAAGATTGTTGTAAACATTGACACCGCTCAAAGCATATTTTGATTCCCACCCTCCCCCATAATTATTTGTGGAATTTTAATTTCAGTTGCTTGGACCCTGGGCAACGTGTACTCAAACGGCAAAAAAGTCTATAAATAGGAAGTTTCTGACTCCTACCGTCACCGGTATGTCATATATCACCACGGGGTGCGTGATAGACTTACCTCCACGTGGTGCACCCTGGGCAACGTATACTCATAGGACAAAAAAGTCTATTAACTGGCGATTGACTTCTGGCGCAGTACTCATCCTACCTTTTCTCTGCCTTCATGTCTGTCTCTTTACATCTGTAAATCACTCTTCTGTTTCCCAACCCTCGACTTTCTGTTACCTTGATGTTCCTTCCCCCTGTGAAGCCCGAAGCCAGCTAAAGGGCTAATGATAACTATCAAAACGCCTGCCATTTGAAATAAATAAATATTTCACTACCCCCATGGTACTCACCTTACCTTTTTCTCTACTTTCGAGTCTGTCTTACATCTGTGA